TCCTGGATGCCTTGCCTCATCTGTAGGAAGTCACCCAATCTCACACACGTAACGGCTTCCTGAAAACAAGCGCTCATGTGGTACGAGCCGCTCACCGGATAGCAGGAGGCGTTCTGTGCCCATAAAGCTGAAAAGGGCCATAAAACCCCTAATTAACCTTGTATTCGCAGCTCATCTCCGGGTGATGTATTATTCTCTGCATGCTGCGCCCACATGCTCTCTCTTTAACCATCGAATGGGCAATAACCTAAGTCCAACGAGGCTGAAGATCTGCCGTTTCAGCATGCCGATTGATTTTCACCTTTATCTCAATTAGATCGAGCCCGGTGGTTATCAATTTCAAGATTTGTTTTTCTATTTTTCTTCATAAAATTGGAGAAGAGTACAATAAAAATATTCCGATCATTGTAGTGCCCAGGGAGAGTACATAGAATACAGTAGCTGAATGGTAACCGCTGGCTGGCAGGCAGCCTTCTCTCCCCCCGACCCCCAACAGTGGCCTAAACATCCAGGGGTCCTCTTCGCAGCCATCGGGGGGCGCCACCCCATTTTCTCCCCTCACAATGGCCATCCTAGTATTTACAAGCTCCACAATGTCTTTCCTCCGGATACGGGCCAAATCCAAAATGTGATCTCTAATGACCTTCGCACCTAAAGCCACCATCCTCTCCCTTGCTTGTCTCCTCACTGAAGCCCAGCTCCAGTTCTGGCCCCGACTTTATACCTTCAACACAGAGTACAAGTGAGCTGCCCCTGACTACCCTCTATCCACCTAACTAGCTCTTTTCCCATTTTGGGAATTCCACTCAATTTGGAAACCTTCCCAGACTGACTAAAGAAGAGCTGGCCCGGCTGGCGTGGCTCAGTGGTTGGGCATTGAAAAAGAACTTTCCCCCAACTCTTTATCATCTCTCTCCCCAACTTCCCATGGAATCTTCCCCAAGTCCCATTTCTGTCCCTGCAAAATATATTCATTCTGGGCCTGTTTCGAGGCCTTCACCGCCCATCCAGGTGCTCGGTTAACACAACTGCGTGTTGCCTGTGTGGATGCAGCCCTATCGCTGCACTGTCTTCAGTTTCAAACTCCATGTGGACCAGGACGTGGGGTCTCCTCCTTTGGCATCCCAGAGGGTGCCATCGCATCGGGAATCTTCTCTGGTCATAATGAGCTAAGGGGAAGCATGTTTCCTCAGACAGGAGTCCCAAATGAAAATATTTACATCCAACGCTAGAAGGCCTGTGATCTGTCCTCCTAAGTGCTGCCTTGTACAGAGTCATTGACAAGAGACTGAGTTTCTGTATCAAGCAAAACCAGCTCCAACCACCAGGAGCTGGACTTCCTGGGCTCCGGGAAAAGCTCTTACTTTTTAACAAACTCAGTGTCACCAGCAGGTGCAGACGGGGGTTCAATTCCAGCCAAGGGCAGAAGCCTGGGTTGTGGTCTCGATCCCCAATAGGGGGCATGCAGGAGGCAGCTGATCAATGATTCTCATCATCGATGTTTCTATCTCCCTCTCCCTCTCCCTTTCTCTCCAAAATCAATAAAAAATATTCTTTAAAAAAGGATTAAAAATAAAATGGCTCTGCACCCACCCCATGAGACGTCAAACCTACAATTAAGTTCAGTGTCTAGGATAGCCTCCTCTTCAGTCTAGCACCTGAAGCTCAGGAAAACCCCAGATTCGAAACTGTGAAGACCTGGTCCCACCCCACACCCTGAGCAACTCAGCATCCACCCAGCGGCTCCTCGTTCCTCCGATGAAGCTCTCATAGAAAACGGCGTGTGGTTATTAGCTGTGAAGCGTCTGGCACGCGTAAGCAGCCTTAACCACCCCGCAAACCTCAGGGCCTCCTCAGATAAACAAGTCCCCACCCAAATGCCCTGCCCCACCTGTCCTGAGGGTGGCCCCCCCTGTGCCAAAAGGCGACTGACATTTAAACCTTGGTTGAAACCACACCGAACCCTGTCTATTTTAAATGTCAACGGAGAAGGCAGCTGGGCCGGCATCGAAAACCCACTTCCCCGCAGTGGGATTTAAAAAATCAATCATTAGAGGCGGCGAGAGGAGGGAGTGAGGACAACACCGACCTTCACGTCAAGGGCGCCTTTTGTGACTAATTATCTCTTTCCCAATCTTTAGGTCCGTCTCTGGGGGCAGGAGCTTTCTTCCCAGCAGCGAGACTTCTGACTCAGTGGGAGCGCAGGCTTCTGGAAGGCCTGGCGGGGTCCACATTTAGCGTGGCCGTTTGCCACTGTGTGTGTGTGCGAAACACCTGACATTTGTCGTTCTTTTAAAGCACACATAAAAGTTTATGCTTCCTGCATCATTAGAAAAAATAAACAAAAGGATGTCTGTGTTGTCTTGAGAGCCTAAAGGCTCTTTAAACTGCCTTGGAAGCTTGTTCTCCTCAGATACAGAATACCACCAGCCTGAAACCAAGATGTTATCTAGTTTTCTGTCACTTTCCCATTAAAAGAGATGGATTACACTTTAGAATAACAAATATGGATATATATATATATATATATATATATAAAAATTTTCTTCAATATATATTTTTATTGATCTCAAAGATGAAGGGAGAGAGAGAAAGATCAATAATGAGAGAGAACCATTGGTCGGCTGCCTCCTGCATGCCCCCTCCCCCACCCCCACTGGGGATTGAACTCAAAACTGGGCATGTGCCCTGACCAGGAATCAAGCCGTGACCTCCCGGTTCATAGGTCAACGCTCAACCACTGAGCCATGCCAGCAGGGTGAATATATAAAAATCTAATGAGTATGTAGTACTTCTTACTCTGTGCTGGTTCTGTTATAAGCACTTTACAAATAATAATGTATCTAATCCTCACGACAGCTCTATAAGGTTAAGTCCCATTACCCCTGTTTTTATAGGACAGGAAACTAAACACAGAGAGGTAAAGCAGCTTGCTCAAGGTCACACAGCTAGTGCATGGCTATGGTGGGTGTTGAACCCAGGAAGCCTGACTTTGAAGGCCACCCCCCTCTGTTGCCCCTGATACACTAAGTGCTGAGTACTTCCCATGTGTTATTTCATATAAACCATACAGTGACTTATAAGATAGCTCATACTTTTGTTCCCATTTTACAGATGAGAAACAGAGGCGTACAAAGGCAAAGCAGCTTCCCCAAGACCCCTCAGCCAATTGGTGGGCACTCAGACTCCATTCAGGTGTCACAGGACACCTCCCCATAACCTTTCCTCATGTCCCTTTGGGTAGAGTCAGGAAGGAAGCTGTATCAGTGATTAGTAACCATCCTCTGCCCAGCAGCTGTGGCTCAGTGGTTGAGTGTCAACCCATGAACCAGAAGATCACAGTTCAATTCCCAATCAGGGCACATGCCTGGGTTGCAGGCTCAGGTACCCAGTGGAGGGCGTGCGGGAGGCAGCTGATCAATGATTCTCTCTAATCGTTGATGCTTCTATCTCTCTCTCCCTCTCCCTTTCTCTCTGAAATCAATAAAAGTATATTTAAAAAAAAAAGAAGAAGAAAGAAAAAAAGAATGAAAGAAACCATCCTCTAAAGTAGGGTGTCGAACTCAATCAGAGAAGGGGCCAAAATCTAAAATCCAGCCTAAATCACGGGCCGAATGGTTTACTGAACAGTCATAAACTGTCATTGTGATGGAAACGCAGCGGAGTGCAGTGATGACAGCGTGGTGCGGGCCACATTGCAAGGCCTGGCGGGACGGATTTGGCCCGCGGGCCTTGTGTTTGACACATGTGCTCTAAAGCAATCCTCTAAAGCAGTGGCTCTCAACCTTCCTAATGCCGTGACCCTTTAATACAGTTCCTCATGTTCTGGTGACCCCCAACCATAAAACTATTTTAGTTGCTACTTCATAACTGCAATTTTGCTGCTGTTAGGAATCATAATGTAAATATCTGTGTTTTCCGATGGTCTTAGGTGACCGCTGTGAAAGGAGTCGTGACCCACCGGTTGAGAACCGATGTCAGGGGTCGCCTAAGACCATCGGAAAACACAGATATTTACATAACGATTCATTAACAGTAGCAAAATTACAGTTATGAAGTAGCAACGAAAATAGTTTTATGGTTGGGGGTCACCACAACACGAGGAGCTGTACTAAAGGGTAGCGGCATTGGAAAGGTTGAGAATCACTGCCCTAATGGAACCTGGGACTCCTTTGCCCCATAACAACCGTGTTTAGGCAGGAGAAACATTGCATCATCTGATACCACTCTGTTTAAGAGAGCAGACCAAGAGGCTTCCCCACAAGAAATAACTTGGCTAAGGGGCCATATAATTAACCCAATTAGATTGCCACATGGGGAGAGAGTGGGGGAGGGAAAGTCACTGGAGAAGCAGTTTTCAAAGTGTGGTTTGGGGTTCCCTGGGGTACCGAACTTCTCCACATGGTCCGAACTATTTCCTTAGTAACACCGGGCTGCTACCTCACATCATCCGTGCGTGTCCTGTGGGGTTCTCCAGAGATATCCCTACACATTGCAACAGACTGAGCGGGAAGATTTGAGGACCCAGCGCCCCTCTAGAAATTCCACCAGATGGGGCAGAGATTTGCAAACATAACCAAACAATGCCCCTATTCCACTTTTTACGCTGAAAGTTATTTTTCATAAAAGTGCTATTTATATCAACATGTAAACAGGTTTATGATTAAGTGAATTACAGCATATCATAACATTTCTTGGGTTTAATCTCTATGGGGAATGAAGGTAGAGATAATCCAAGTAAGATAAAATGTTAAGCACACAAAGGGATCTTGAGACCAAAGAGCCCAGGAACCACAGCCTGAGATGGTGACCTCCATAAGAGCAGGACCACATGTACCCCGCGCCCCATGCCCTGTGCCCCATGCCCTGTGCCCCATGCCCCGTGCCCTGCAGGAACTCAGCATACTGAACGAAGGCCCAGGTGCACGGTAGGGCCCATCTCTTCGGGTACCCGTCCCCACAGGCACAATAATGATGGATGCTCAGACCCACACACTTACCTGGAAATAGTCTGTAATGAACGCTCCGAGTTCACTCTTCAGCAGCCGCCTGGGGAGAGAGAAACACCGTCAAGCAGCCTCACTGGTACAGCTCCCACTGTCTGGGTCACGGACACAACACCACGCACTTGAACTCTTGGAACTTACCTTGGCTGAGTTATGATTCAAACCCAGACCTTCTGCAAACTCAACATCTCTTCCCATAACCCCACCCCGTCTCTCCTCCAAATCCATGGGAGACATGCAACTTGGTGCCAAGGTTTGGGTGATCGATCCTACTACCTATCCCGAGGGACTGTGGCAGTGGGGAGGGGACCACAGCGGGGAGGACAGAACTTATGTATCCAGGCAGCGAACAGCTACTGCCTGTGATGTGCCAGAGATTGTTCCGGCCCGGCGCACAGGAGTGAACAGGACAGGAGAGGCCTGGCTCTCATGCAGCTTCTATTGGGGGGTGGGGGTGGGGGGGAGAGAGGGTGAGGACAGATAGCTTGTCAATCAACACCCTCACAAGATAAGTTCCAAGAGTCCAAGTGCTCAGGAAAAAAAACAAAAAAATAGGGCTGTAGGCACCAGCAGCTCTTCTCCTTGTGACACACTACGGGACTCTCCTACTGCTCTTCCAAACCAAGTGAGGGAGCTAAAACCAAGACAGGTCCAGGGAGTTCCTGGGAGTACAGGCTTCCTGACTTCAAGACCTTCCTCACTAGGTATCATCACAGAATGATCTGAACAGCACAGACCCTCTCTGATCATTCAAGTCTCCCCTCTCTTGTCCTGGGTGGCCAAGTCAGTAAGCTCCTCTGTCCCTTACAAAACCCTGTCTTGCCCTAATTGGTTTGGCTCAGTGGATAGAGCATCCGCCTGTGGACTGAAAGGTCCCAGGTTCGACTCCAGTCAAGGGCATGTACCTTGGTTGCGGGCACATCCCCAGTAGGAGGTGTGCAGGAGGCAGCTGAGCCATGTTTCTTTCTCATCATTGTTTCTAACCCTATATCCCTCTCCCCTCCTCTCTGTAAAAAAAAAAAAAAAAAAAAAAAATCAATAAAATATATTTAAAAAACAACAACAACTTCATCTTATTCCGGTCTAGCCATGGGCCTCACGGAGGTGCCCCAGAAAAAGTGTGCTTCATCCAGACAACGGGATTCCACACAACTGTGAGAAAGAATGAGGGAATGCAGAAGTGCTCTGAGCAATGCTATAGTACAAAGAGCTCTAAGTCCCATGAAGGAAAGAGAAAAAAACACAAGATGCAGATCCGTGTGGGTAACACGCTCCCTTGTGAAAAAGGAGGGAATACACATTTTTATTTTCACAATGTCAACCAATTCATCTGTCAAAACCGCCCCACTTGTTCACTCTAGGAGGCCCTCGGTGCTGAAATCAGCACCCTGGTTTTTAAACACGCACAGCACACATACATTTCTAAAATTATGTATAAATGCACTGGGCTTTGCCCAGCTGGTGTGGCTCAGTGGTTGAGCAGCGACCTATGAACCAAGAGGTTGCGGTTCGATTCCCGGTCAGGGCACATGCCTAGGTTGTGGGCTTGATCCCCAGCGTGGGGTGTGTAGGAGGCAGGCGATCAGTGGTTCTCATCACTCTATCTCTCTCTCCCTCTCCCTTCCTTTCTGAAATCAATAAAAATATATATGTGGTTAAAAAAAAAAAAAAAAACCCATATTTTTATTAACAATCAAAGCCATGAAGGTGACCTGGATGGCTAGAAGCCCAGAAGTGGCGGCAGGGAGTTCCCATCCAGGGCACAGTAGCAGGAAGCAGGCTGTCCCAGGGCCCTCAGAGAATCCCACATCCAAGAACCTGCCAGCCCCTCGGGCTGGTAACCCACGAGCTTAACCCAGAGAGAGAGGGAGGGGTGAGGAGAGGGCAGATCTGGCCTAGCCACCAGGGAACAGACCGGGGCTGAGTCATATGCAAAATCCACCTTCTATTTCTATACTCGGGTGTTTATTCTGCCAACACTTGGCTTACAAGGAAAGGGTGCTTCGGAAAACTCTAGAGAAAGAGGGATTTTCCACCCCTCTGACGGGAAGCACCGCCTCCAGGGGGAATGGGGCAGTGGCTTCCCCCAAGAGCAGCTGATGGAGAACAGGGACCCTGGGAATTCCTAGTCTTTACGAAAGCCTGCGCTATGTCAGGCAGAGAAGGCCACCCAGAGCTCAGACACGATTTCTTCCCACGGGGGCCGCTCTCTCAGGGGCACCTCCTACTCCAAAAATTGGGAGTCCAGCATGAAGTCCAGGCATGAAGCTCGCCCCGCCCCCTGCCAGGTCAGCTTGGAGAGCACAGGGAAGAAGAAGAGAGGCAGGAGGTTGTGGTTGAATGAAGGGGCCTGTGGGTTGTGGTTGCCTAGAGGCAAAGAGACGGAAACCCCCATGCCAGGATGCCCTCTCCTCTCGGGCACAGTGGCCTGGCATCCGAAATCCTCCTTCCACCCTTCCCACCCACCCTTGCCCGGAAACAGGAAAGGAATGACTTCTTGGAGCAAAAATAGATGACAGACAGGCAGACGGACAGGCAGATCAATGAATAAGGAACACAAAGCAAATTGCTGCTAGGATGAGGCCTGGCTTCCCTCCCCCCCCCCCCCCCCCCAAGCTCAAGTTTACTGAGCGCTTACTAAGTGGCAGGCACCGTTGTCAACAAGGTCCATGTGTCTCCTCATTTAAGGCTGAAAGGAAACTCTCTGGAAGCAATACTGTCTCCACTTTCCACACGCAAGGAAAGGGGCCCTCGGAGGGGACTGGGGAGCGCATGCAGCAAGCCCACCCCGGAGAGGAGCCTCACCGGAGGCCAGGGCCTGGAGGCGGTGCCTGGGCCTGGAGCCTGAGCCACAGATAACCTTGCAGGCTCCCTCACAGGGGAGTCCCTGTGGCTGTTTCCTCAGTGGAAACTTGGGGATAGAGAGATGGGGTCTCCGCAGGATTGCTGCAGGGGCTGAAGGAAGTCACCCTAGACCGGGAGTCCCTAGCGCACAGCCCTGAGTGTTGGCTGGGAGGGTCCCACCCAGGTGGTCTGATCCCCGAACCCTTAGTCCTCTAACAGCTCCATTCTCCTGCCTGTCCGCATCTTCTTCACCAGCCCAAACAGGTTTGTCTCAGTGGATAGAGTGTCGGCCTGCAGACTGAAAGGTCCCAGGTTCGATTCCGGTCAAGGGCACGCACATTGGTTGCGGGCACATCCCCAGTGGTGGGTGTGCAGGAGGCAGCTGGTCAATGTTTCTCTCTCATCGATGTTTCTAGCTCTCTATCCCTCTCCCTTCCTCTCTGTAAAAATATCAATAAAAAATATATATATTTTTTAAAAAGAGTGTTGCCAGACTAGCGATGAATCTGGTGCTCGGGACCTAGGCGAAGCTCACGAAGGGGGCTGCAGCATCGGGGCCGCCCACCCCGATAAAAGGGGGGGAGGATTAAGATGATGGGCCAGAGCTCAGGGAAAAACTGTGGTGGAAGCAACATCCCAGTTTCCTCAGCTCCCACTCATCCCTTTCACACATGGGGCTTCATTTGAAAACAGTCCTGCTGCCAGCCGCCAGTGGAGGAGGGGGAATGGGAAGGGAGCGCTTCTGTGGGACCCAGCCCCCAAGGGAGGCGGGGCATGAAGTCTGGGCAGAAGCCAGCAGGACCACAACAAACAAACAAGAAATGGGGAACCGCTCACTGTAGGTATCATCTCACCCCCGGCCCCTCCCAGGCTGACCGGGCGAGACACCCGCCCAGGAGGACAGGGTTTCCTGTTGATACACAACTTGCAGTCTTGCCCCTCATGCCTCTGTCACTTCCGCTTCCCACTGCTGGGGCTTAAAGGCAAGGAAGGTGTGACTGGAGCTGGGGTCCGGCTGGGTGAGAGACACAGGGGGGCAGGATGGCGGGAAAGTGGGGAGCGGCAGAAATGAAGTAGGGAAACCCCTTTGGTCCAAGCCAGCATCTCCTGTGTGCACCCAGAAAGGCCCAAGGCAGCGACACCCCAAAGGAGGACGAGGCAGCCTGGAGTGCAGGTGCATTGGGGCTCAAGGTCAGGCAGCACCAGTTGGGACAGCCTATAGGACGCTCAATATCTACCGTGTTTCCCCGAAAATAAGACCTCCTCAGAAAATAAGACCTAGTGCATGGAAAGATAAGACATCCCCTGAAAATAAGACCTAGCGCAACTTTGGGAGAAAAAATTAATATGACACTGTCTTATTTTTGGGGACACAGGGTATCTCCCTGCCATTAGGCAATTAGGGGCCGCCCCCAAGTATCCAGACCCTCTGCCCTGACTCCTTGGCGGGATCCTGCTGGGCCTCCTCATGGGCCAGCAGGGGCCCCGGCAACCTGGGCCTGGCCTGGAGCAGGTCAGTACCTACCCCACTTGGTTGCTAACATCCCCCCCGCCACACACACACACAAAATGACCCACTCGCCTCCGCAGCAGGCAATATTTTGAGCAGTAGTGCATGGAAACAACCCTTTCCTCCTCGGTCCACTGTGGGGCCATTGGAGGTGGGTGAAATGCCCACGGGGGACCTCCCATGCCCACAGGGGCCAGCGCCCGGGCACGAACAGTGGGGCTGCAGCCAACGCCTCTATGGCCAGCAGCCAGGTTCCAGCCTCTGCAGACAGGTACCAGGCCGGACTGTGGGCCCCGCATTGCCCAACGTGAGCGTCCCCGAGAGGCCTGGGTTTTTAGGGGAGGTGTCGTTTCCTAAACACTGTGCAGGCCGAACGCCACACAAGCCAGCCCCAGGTTTCAGATCTGCCACTTCCCTCTAACTCCTCATGCCGCTCCCAAAGTCACGTCTGTTTCTGAACCAGAGCAGACAAAAGGGGTCAACACACAGGCAGCCACCTGGACCAAAACAGAGAAGACCTTAGCTGAAACCGGTTTGGCTCAGTGGATAGAGTGACGGCCTGCAGACTGAAAGGTCCCGGGTTCCATTCCGGTCAAGGGCATGTACCTTGGTTGCGGGAACATCCCCAGTAGCGGGTGTGCAAGAGGCAGCTGATCGGTGATTCTCTCTCATCGATGTTTCTAACTCTC